AAACAGCCTTTAACATTCCCAAGAATTAGTATTAAAAGCGGCAAAGAGTATGAAGAGATAGTCAAAGTTCAAGATCTCATCAGCAAGCTACTAGTGAAGAATCCAAAGAAGAGAATCGGAAGCTTGAAGGGATCTGCAGAAATCAAAAGGCATGAGCTCTTTAAAGGAGTGAACTGGGCTCTTATTAGATCAGTAAGGCCTCCTGAAGTCCCCAGTGATGTATACAAGCGTAAGATCAGTAGGGTTCACATTCCAAACCTAAGCAAAGAAGAAAGAGATGCCCCATATCAAATCCCTCGTCATTTTGATTATTTCTAACTCTAAATATGTAAATTAAAATACCCAAAAACAAAACAGGAAACAAGTGAAAAATCATGTATTACACCAAAGCAAGAGTTGTTTTTCCTGCCAAGAGAGTTTTTCTTCTTTTAAGTTATTGTAATCCTCTAATTTGTATGGTTTGAATTAATTAACATTTAATTTATTTTTATGTATTCCGACGTGTAAAAGGAAGGAATCCCATAATTGTCCCAATGTGATTCCATGAGAAATCTATCAACTTCATGTGATGACAATTATGACTCTTTTCAATGATGGTAAAAAATCATTATAAAAAATCCTTTCGTAACTTTTTCTATCAATTCGGTTACCTTTTTTTTTCACAAGATGAGCACTTTCATAGCCACGCATTCACATGCCCTTTCACGGATCAAAGGTAAGATAAAATATAATAAAAGGACAAATTATCAATCATGTTTTCCTGCCGCAGGCAAAAGTTTTGGGGTGAAAAAAATTAAAGAGAAGGATGAAATATCATGTGTGGACCACTTTCATGATTATTAGAATGTGGTGGGAATAATAACATCATAATCAAGAAATATAGAAGAATTAAGATCATGTATTTAATTAAACTCGTTTATAATACTCATCAAACTGTAACTACATCGAGAAGAGTGATAATTTGATTCCTTATTGACTCATCGTTTTCTTTCTCATTTGTAAATTTCGAGGAAGAACATAAGATACTAAGAATCTATGAAACTTGATGCGTGCTTATCTGTTGTGATTTCGAGGTGCTAGAGCAACTGATCAGGTCAAGTTCACTCTTTCGTTCCATATTATCCAACGTTTTGTTCCAAAATCTGGCAACATCAACATTGGGTTGGGACCTTATTATAAATATAAATTGCGGGTGGGTTGATTAAGGATAAGTCAAATTTTAAAGAAATACGTCAGAACTTTGGAGAGGAATATATATATGAATCATGAATGTAATGGCCAACAGGTTCATTATAAGGTAGATTCAAATTTGAAAAGAGATGGGGAAAATTGGAGTGACCCATTTGATATGGAATATTGGGACTGGGACTGGGACTGGGGACCGGTGGATCGTCAGCTTGCAGGAGCACGCGAGGTTTCTCAAATTCAAAGTAGACCCCATTTGGTCGTGTTGGTTGCATGGAGAAAGTGACAGCGTTATCTCTAATCTAGTATTCCATATTTCTCACCTTTCATCCAACTGGTAATTAAACTGATACAAAGAAATAAGAGGAAAATGGTCACCACTTCAACAAACACAGGTGGGCAGAAGTTATGGGGATCTTCAATTAAGTAATACCAGAACGAATCTTCCTATGTACAGAATATCTCATATTTTCCTTTACTAATCTTCGCTTGTTAGAATAATGAGTTAGTGAGCATCAATGATCATGCTCTAACATTGCTCGAGCTCCAGGGTATGTTGCATGGTGTGCATGGAGAAGATTCAAGAAGCTTGTAGTTAAGCTCATAGTTGATGGTGTGCGGGTTGCAGACAATCAGAACCATAGGTTGTTAGGCTGTTGTTACACGGTTATATTTGTCAAAGTCTGTTAGGAAGTTTGCTTCTTGGTTCAGCAACCAATTGCTATATAAACCATGTAATTCTTCACTGGTTTGTCAATGAAAATGCAATAATTGTTTTGATATAATGGCACCTTTCTCACATGGTATCATTCGTCGATGATCCTGCGGCCATCTTTATTCCGCTTGCATTTGTTGTTATTTTCTTTCTAAACTCCAATCAGTCACTGAATTCTCAACCACTGTCCGTCGCTATCCATCGTACTTGATCTCAGAGTTGATTTTGTTACGAGAAAATCACTGGGCTTGATTGATTAATATGATGCCTCAACGCCACTGTTTCTTCCATTTCAATTCAAAAATGGTCAATTCATATGTTGTATGCTATCTTGAACTCATTCCCTTCTTAATGGATGCATGCAAACTTCATTGGGCTGTCATTGTTCTTCAACTGGTGTTCACTGGTCTCGGTTTACACCAAATGAGTCTAAGTTTACACTGTTCCTCATCATCTGTTGTGTATGGACCTGAGTTTACTAATGAGGTTTGGTATACTATTTTCAATTTACTGAAGGTTCTCAATCTTGTTTGCTCCACTTGTGGCAAACCATGCCGATCCAAAACAGAAAGCGATTTGCATACAAAACGAACAGGGCATACCGAGTTTGTAGATAAGACTTTGGAGGCAGCAAAACCAATCAGTTTAGAGGTCCCAAAGGTAGCAATGGACTCAGAAGAGGCTGTTGATGTAGGTAGCACCAGCTAGTCTGAAGAGATGGTTGTGCTAGAGGTTGAAAAAAAACTGTTTGAAGAGCTGGAAGCGATGAGTTTCCCTACCGCACAAGCAATACGTACTCTCCACTTTTATGGTAACACAAGTCTTAAGGCTGCCATGAACTGGGTAGTTAAGCATGAAGCTGATCCAAACATAGATGAGATGCCCAAGGTATCTGTCAATAAAAATGTTGAGGCACCTAAACCTTCTCTTACACCGGAAGAGATGAAGGTCAAAGCACAAGAGCTAAGACAGCGGGTTCGGAAAAAGAAAGAAATGAAGGTGAATAAGAAGAACGAAAGAAAGCATCACACTTTCGATTCAAATTGAAACGGAAGAAAACATCGACACTTCCGATTCAAATCGAACGGAAGGAGGCATCGGCACTTTCGATTCAAATCGAACAGAAGGAAGCATCGACACTTCTGATTCAAATCGAACGGAAAGATGTATCGCACTTTCGTTTCGGGTGTTCATCTTTTTATCAAGAAGGTTGAATGTTAAAAATTAGTTGTAATTAGTTTTTAGAGCTTGCTGTAATAGTGTGTTCAAGGTCAGAAGAACAAAAGAAGAAGAAGTAGAGGGAATGTTAGCATAATGAGTTAGTGAGCATCAATGATCATGCTCTAACATTGCTCGAGCTCTAGGGTATGCTGCATGGTGTGCATGGAGAAGATTCAAGAAGCTTGTAGTTAAGCTCATAGTTGATGGTGTATGCTGGGTTGCAGACAATCAGAACCATAGGTTGTTAGGCTGTTGTTATACGGTTATATTTGTCAAAGTCTGTTAGGAAGTTTGCTTCTTGGTTCAGCAACCAAGTGCTATATAAACCATGTAATTCTTCACCGGTTTGTCAATGAAAATGCAGTAATTGTTTTGATATAATGGCACCTTTCTCACATCGCTGTTAAGAATGGTAAATGGCATCCAAATTCCAAACCCTTTTATCACCAAGTCAAGTAAATTGCTTCTCTTTTTTTCCCTTTAGGCTTAAAAGGGAAAACACTCAACTTTTGAACTTTTCTTCTTCTTGGATTTAACCATGCGCGACTTCCTTTGTTATATATCTCTTTGGTAAGTTGGAAAATCATGGAGTAATAATCAGTAATAAAGCAAAGCAGTCATGAATATAATAATGGTAATTTACCAAGTCAGGACTACTGCAGAAGCCCAAACAAAATATAGGTCTGGGCTTGAGCAAAAGTATTAGGCTTTGAGAGTTGCTGATCTTGGATTATCCACTAGATAGTCGATAGACATCTGATGAGGAAGCAAATGCGAAAGATCTTGGATTACCCGCTGCGGAGCAAGGGAACCTAACAAGTTTCTATAACAAGATAGACTAAGGAAGCACTTGCTAAAGGTTTTAGCATTTTGCAGTGTATTGAATATTTGATGTCTGCCAGTGTCAAAGGCAGATAGCGGCAATCCCATTAATTTTCTAGGACACGTGGTCCTATTTCATGGGCACTGCACTTCAAACACATGAAATAGCTCCAAAGTTGAGCCAACACAAGGGGATGACACTTGAGACTAATAAATAATAATATTATATTGTACTTGATTTTTTTTTGCAAAATTTATTGTTAAAAAAGATAAGTTTATATAAGGACTGAAAAAATACTTTTTAAATTAATATATTTGTTATAATATTACGATTTTCTGGTGATTTTTGGAAATATTTGAATGACTCAACCATTTTTTGAATAATACGATTTTTCATTCTTGAAATATCTTGTATCGGACTATATGTAATTAAAGAAAATTTTATATTTTTCACGTGTCTTTCTAATATGTCAAATGATTCGAACCATTTTCTATCACACATATAATTTCAACATATGATTTTTCCAACCTCGCAAATAAATCATTGTTTTTTCCAAATCATTATCTCAATAAATTTATCTCAATTTTTTATATAAAAATATGAATACAAAAATACAAAAATTGTCACGAGTAATTATATAAAAAATATTATGCATATAATAGATCTTTAATTCAATGTTTGTTGAAGACCAAAAAGCAGCAACGAGGTTTGATTAGGTTACCCGTGGTTTTGTGATTTGTGAAAATTTTAGTTTAGCCAAACCAGTGGCTTGGGCGATGTCCATCATTAGAAAGAAGAGGAAAGGCTTTTGAAAAAGCTTTCATGGATTTGTGCGTATAAGTGAGAGAAGAAAGGACCCAGTTGATAATGTGCGCAAATCACCAAATTCCTATGCCCACCGTTTTCAGTATTTCCATGTCAACTTTTCTAACTGCTAATGACCAACTTGCCCTTTGCATAACTTATATCGAGATGGTAAGGTATACCGTATACAGATACAGTGATTTGTAGTCTTGCACCATTAAATTTGTAGATATAGTTTTATTCTTTTAGATAACATAGGGAAGAGTGCAGGTGCAACAGAGCCAAACCGTCAATAGCAGAAATCAAGTGAAAACAAGTGTCTGTGTCGCTGGGATTCAAGCGAAACCATCGAACTCCCTCCCCAACACCTGAGGCACACTCCACAAATCTCTACAACTCCATATCCATCCCATTTTATCCTCTATAAATACCCATCCAATTCTCACAATCTCTTCAACAAAGCTTCACACAATCATATCATACACTTCTCTTATTTTCCTCTTACAATCAACATTTTGTTTCTCTTTCACAATGGCTAAAAATGTTGAACAATCTGCTACCTTGGCTTCCCTTGACCAACAGCTGGCCCTGGCCAAGAGCTGCTCTCATGGTAATTTTCGCTTTCCTCTTAGCTCTCTTCAAATACTTTTACATATTTGGTAACTTCATCATGTTAAAGCATCATGGGATTACATGCTTTAGTTCCTTTATAGTAACTTGAGTATTGACATTTGACCATCTGTTTCTTGTTTTGCACATCAGAGGGCGTGCTGGCTGGAGCTAAGGCAGCCGTTGTTGCTACCATTGCCACTGCAATTCCAACTGTAAGTATATCGAGGACCGGACAACATCTAATTATACTTTATCCTTGATTTTTCTTGGGGATGATTAAATGTGCTTGATATGCATGATGCAGTTAGCTAGTGTAAGGATGCTGCCATGGGCAAGAGCCAATCTGAACCCCACCGCACAAGCTCTCATAATCTCCACAGGTTTTCATCATTTTCCTTTTACCAGATTCTCTAAAGATCTTGCTTTAGTAATCACTTCCTTTTGTTAATAAAACTTTCGTTGTTTATTGCAGCGGCTGGAGCTGCTTATTTTATAGTTGCAGACAAGACTGTTTTGGCTACGGCACGGAAGAACTCCTTCAAGCAGGCCCCGAACATGAAGGCAAGAATCTGAGTTTGGTTTAAATTTAAGACTCGGCATCTAATGTAAGCCATACTTATTATCATCCAGTTGGCTATAAAAAGGGATCAGAATTAGAAAGAAGGGGTGGGGTGAGTTGAGTTAGTATTCTAAGAAGCTGCTATTTTATCCTGTTACTATGTAATCCATCGGATTTGTAATATAAATAAATATGGTTTTCCTTTACAAGAATCTGAGTTTTATGCACCAAGAAAATTCACTTCTAGAGTTGGCTTATTTGCAGGGCACAAGGTTTTAAGCTTAAACTGGCCTAAATAATGTCACTTTGCTTTAAGTGGTTTCCACTTCATTTTCAGATTTCAAGCCAGATCTTGTCTTGGACTTCGGATCATTGAAATTATCATATGGTAGTTCATCCATGATTAACGTAACTACTGATGCTTTAAAAATTATATAAAAATCAAACCTTGAGGAGAAAGAAAACATATCTCCACGGAATTCAACACTTAACACCTGATACCATCCCCAATTGATTGAATTTTTTTAAAAAACTTTTAAAATTTCATAAAAGGATTCAAAAAAATTATTAAGATAGTAGAAATATAAGATATACGAGGAATTAAAAAATTGGAAGAATTTAAAATTTATAAAAGTTTAAATATTTAAACTTTAATTATAAATTAACACTGAAATAATTTTACCATTATTGTTGAAACTGAACTAGCACTAAATAGATTACTAGGTACTAATACCTTTTAAATTACCAACATAACTGTAGAGAACGGTTGTAGGAGATTATTTCTGTTTGTACAGTTAGAGAATTAGTTAGTTGGTTTTGGTTAGTTTACAAGTTAGTTAGCCGTCCAGTTATTGTATAAATACATTGGTTGTATAATCTTATACTGTAGTGAAATAGAAAAAGCATTTCCAGTATTCTTTGGTTATCATTTTAACATGGTATCAGTTGGTTTGTTTTTGGGCTCTTGGGTTATTAGGCTTCTTTCACACTAGTCCATCTACATTTCTTGTTCCCGTGCAAAAATCCCCAATTCCAGTTATGCTCTCGCTCTCTACATTTTTTTCTCTCCTCTTTCTGTTATTCCTATTCGTGATGCCTCCACAAGATATTTCGGAGATTGATTTCACTCATCCATTGTATTTGCATTCGTCTGATGCGCAGGTGTTGTTCTCGTCTCTCACCAGCTCACCGGCGCTCATGATTATGGCGTCTGGAGTCGGTCAATGCGTATCTCCCTTCTTGCGAAGAACAAGTTAGGACTCATTGATGGGGTCTGTCGTCGGTCATAACTGCTGCATTAGTCCAAATATTCCCTCATTTATTCTCTTATTATTTTTGCGAATATGTATACTATAAATAACAGTTTATACTTGAAGTTTGACGACTTTTAATTCTTCAAAGGCCCAAGTACAAATCAAAGTTGAGGAAAGACCTAATAAGACATGATTTAATCGTACATGCAATTTAAGCTTGTGTGGGCATCATATTTATCAAACAGTCTTGAAGTTTATTTAGGCTAAATTTGCGATTGGTTATATAAATAATTATAATTTTAAATTGTGGATACGTTTACATTAAATTGTACATACGTTTACGATATCCATAATAATTTTAAAAAACGTTGTAATGTGATTGTTATGTTGTGTTGCGGTAATTTAATACAATGTGTAGCAATAACAATATCAAATATATGATTTATATTAGTCCCGTATAGAGTAGTATAACGTTTTGTCTATATATCATGGTGCGGGAGTTTAATAAAAGAATCATCGAATGGATGTGCAGAAGCGAAGGCTTAAAGTGCAAGAAACAAGGCCAAGAACAACTCACATTTGAAATATACACAGAAACAGCAATCGGGAAGAGCACTGAAAGCAAAAGGCTCCAATTTCGCAATGGATGTACATTAATGGATTAAATTCCAAATGAAATATATTTACGTATATGTGTTTTCCCATAGGTTTCTTCGCCCTTTCCTTTTTTGGCAGTCCCAACTGCAACCGGTACTGCATAAGCCTACTCATGGAAGGTTTATTTGACTAGCTGGATCAGCCTCCCTATTTCGGCTCTTTACGTGTCCATCCATGTCAGCTTTGGATATAGAAGGAGCATGACGTGTCTATATACATGTGGACATTCCACATCAGAAATTAATTTGCTGCACATGGGCGGACCAATCCTTGATAATGCTATAGTAACTTGTTGAAAGAGATAGCATGTATGTACACATTTAAACTATTAAGAAGGTTCCTCTAGTTTAAGAAGTGAGTATTATATGTACATACACAGATTCATATATATCAAAATAAATCATTCAAATTATTATTTCTTTTCTTATTTAAAATTTTCCCTGTTTGATAATCATAAAACTATCAATTAACTTTAAAATTGAATCAAATAAGTTTAGAGAAAATTGGATCGGATTTTCAAATGTGTTCCTTTCTTCATAGTACTCAAATTTAAGATATTACTTAAAATATATTAAACTTTTTGTAACTTAACTAGAAGACATTAATTCATTCAAATTATTGAGTTGTTATGGACAATTCAATTAGTGACATTTATGAACCTTATAAATTATAATAATTTGACAAAAAAAAAGGGAAACAGGCAAACACAGCAGCCTCCATTTCCACATAAAAGCTTCCCCTCATAACACCTAGGTGGAGGGTAATATAGATGAGACGAGAATATATTTTCACATTGATTTCCAGCAATAATTGTCGTAACCGGTTTTCGTCCGGGCACAAAATATTTATTTGGCGGGAAAATTGATGTGAATAAATGGTTTTGAAAATAATTTGGGAGTCGCCATCGGCCTTTTGGGTCAGGTAGGTCGAATACCTAAAAATTATTTTTTAAAAGAGTTTTAAGAAAACATTAATTAAAAAATGAACTGATCTGCGTTTATAACCAAAAATTCGTTCTTTTTAATAATAAAAAGGGATTCGTGGTCGGTTACGTTTAGGGAAGGATTAGCACCCCTACAACGCCCAAAATTGGTACTTTTTAATTATAAATTTTCTCTATTATTAAAAATTTTAAAAATTTAAAATATATTTAATTTATAATCCTATTATTTCAAAATTATATAAAAAAATACTTAAAAATATCGGAAAAGGACTTCTAGGTGCCTTAAGACAGCTCTTTTCTTTGATATTGATAAATATTAATTTAAATTAAATAATATTTTTTATAATTTTTAATTTTAAAATACCAGAATAGGACATCCAGTTGTATTAAGACTGTCCTTTTCTTCGATATTGAAAAATAAATATTAAAATAATTTATTAAAAATATATATAAATAATTATTTATTATATATTTTATAACTATAATAATAAAAGTATTTAAATATATAAACAAATAAAACAATAAAATACAATTAGAACGATATATTTAAAAGCAGTAAAATAAATGAAAACATTTAAAATTAGTGACTAAAATATAATAAAATTAAGATTAAAAAATCTAATTCATAATTAATCAAAATTATAGGGATTAAACATACTATTTTTTATTTTATTAATCTAATGACTAAAATAAAACTATATAAAATTCGGATATTAGATTAAAATAAATTAAAACATATTATTCAGATTAAAATATTAATTATTAAAATTATAGGACTAAATATGTTATTTATCCTATATATATTATTTTAATATAAAGGACTAAAACAAATAAAAATGAAATTAAAGAACCGAATTAAAAGGATTATAAACTTGATTTAGTGACTAAAATGTAAAAATTACAAGTTGGAATGGCTTCGGACGGGGTTTACCCTTTATGAAATTACAGAAATACCCTCCCCAAAACGACGTCGTTTGGGAGAGGGTATTAATACCCGAAACCGGCTGGCCCTACGGGCCAGCTTCTCATTTCTTCATTTCTGTTCTCTCTCTAACAGAGAGAACAAATTTCTCTCTGGCTTCTCTCTAGCTTCTCTCTAGCTTCCCTCATCGGAGGGAAGCCGGTCACCGGACGGCAACCGTCTGCCGCCGTGACCCTCACCGCTGGCCACCGTATCCGGTGGTCGGAAAATTTTATTTTTACATTATTAGGTAGATCGAACCGTCCTAAGGACGGTTCCAGCGTTTTTTTTTAAAATAGCTCTTGATCGGAGCGAATATAAAGAAATACCTTCGGTTTCCGAAGGTTTTGATGACGTTTGAAAGATCCGGTGACTTCCTCGGTAAGCTTCTTTCCTTTCTTTTTGTTTCTGTTTTGGTTTTTGCTGGTTGGGGAACGTTTGCTCTCTGTTTTCTGTCTCTCTCTGTCTCTGTGTGTCTCTCTGTGGGCCTTTTTTTTTTGCAGGTTGGGTGATGGCTTTATAGCCATCACCGGCACTCGTCTCAGACCGGTCCGAAGAGCGGATTTCGGTGAGTCACCGAACTATGTGGTGACTCACTGCTAGAGTAGCAACGTGGGTGACCATCTGGGTCTTCTGGAGGCTTCGATGGAGGCGTGGCACTGGCAGCAGAGGCGGCTGGAAGCTGGACCGTTGGCTGAGGCGGCTGGAATTTTTAGAAAACCCTAAAAGGGTTAGGGTTTCTCGGTCGGGTTGGGTTTGGGCTTCAGGTTTTGTAAATGGGCTTATATTTTGGGCTTGTAATATTAAATAATATATATTAATAATAATAATAATAATAATAATAATAATTATAATTATAATAATAATAATTATAATAATAATAATAACATTAAAATGAAAAAAAATGAATATCTTCAGCTGCCCCTCTTTGCTTATTCTTAATAAGAATAGAGCAAAGACGAAAAGATAATAAGTTTTTTTCATTTGACTTCACTTGATTAGTATGGAGATGTTGAATAAATTCTTCTTTTTCTTTCAGATGAGTTCTTCTCATTATGAACTTTCCGCTGGGGATGATGTTGACCTCTTTCTTTCTGTGATAGAGTCATTCAAAAGGTTGAATAAGCTCTTCTTATTATGAACTTCTTCTTCTCCTGATGAGTTCTTCTCATTATGAACTTCTCTGGGAAAACTGACCCATCAAGTGATGGATTTGAGCAAAAAGTTGAACAAATTCTTCTCATTATGAACTTCTTCTTCTTTCTTCAGATGAGTTCTTCTCATTATGAACTCGAACTGGAAAAGATAGTCCATCAAGTGATAGATTTGAACAAAAGGTTGAACAAATTCTTCTCGTTATGAACTTCTTCATCCTTCTTCAAGTAATGAGTTCTT